AAAAAAAATAATTCCATTTTTGGCAGCTGAAGATCGTTAACTAATTTATGCATAAGGCTGACTGCTGTTAGTACTAGTACACGTGCACCAACTAAGAAATAGTGCGCCCACAAATACTGGGACACAGCAGTTTTGTTTCGAAAGGGAGTCTTTTTGGTCCATTTCATTTTTCTCTAAGTAAAAATAGCAAATCTACACTTCAATGGAAATTTAATTGATGATAAAAACCCTACTCATACACGTTGTTATGGTCAAGCTACAAAGTTGGTGGAGTACTTACCTAAAACAATATTATTAAGTGCCCACTTTCGAGACAGTACTATCACTTTTAAGGGATATGTTTCAGGAGCCGGAATAAATCTACATTTATCATTTCAACTTCTCTGTGGATGTTTCTCAGCGATTTTCACGAAGCATATTATGCAGGTTATAAGAATGTCAACAGGTGATGTACAGGCTGCGACGATGCTTAATAATATTGTTTCTATAAAAACCGCAAAACAATACCAGTCACGATATCATGGCTAGATATAAACCAACGGTAACTTTAATTTCATAATAATGTGTTACGTGAAACAATCACGGTTTGGTTTTTGGATGACAGGTGATAAAATTAGGTTTTTTTTACTGTAACATGTATAATTTGGGTCATGTGTACAAAATCATAATTAAAACGTCGGTTTTGGGAAAAACAGTAATTCTGTAACAAAAGCATCTTTGCATCAGTAATGGTTTAATTTAAGCCGATGTTCACTATTCCATGACGAATGCATTTTAAGTAAAAAAAAAGTTGCTAATCTCAACTGGCCATGAGAAATTGTTTCATTCAATTGACGCTAGTTTGAAATACTCCATCTTCCGTTTCCTAGGTAATTTTATCGGAATTTCGCAACATTAATAAAAAAAAAGGAGTGCCCCGCCCACGCCATGCACTTGGAAACAAAGGATACTGCCGCAAGATATAGGATGCGCTTAGAAAATGAAAGAGTGCAGAATCTATTGTCTGAAATTCACTTTTTAGTAAAAATCCACTAGTGGCACAAAAAAGTGAAGACCCCTTTCTGAAAACTTATACTTGCTAATTCATTACTGAAATTACAAATTCCTTTGCAGAGTCAAATTGATGGTACCTATTTTTAAAACAGGCAGAATGCTGTGCTACAAAAATAATTAATGTATTGAACAAGAAAATTTGCATATATAAAGTGAAAAAGTAGGATTTTTCTCTAAAATTAGCTGTGTTCCCATTCGTTAAATGTGGTACAAAAATTTGAACGTTTATTTCTCTCTTACGCATCAAAGACAAATTAAGCTTTTGTTGGTAGCTATAATTATAACTGAATAATTACTACCAAATAGGTGTAAATAGGGAGGTGAAGTGTTAATAAACCTACAATATTTTATTCATAACGAACCCAATCGGCAAGTACCGTTGAAAGTACCATTAGATGGTAACTGTCGATTAAATTAAGATTGTTGTATAAGCGCCTGACTACACTAGCATTTTACTTTTAAGGCTCATTATTCTTAATAAAATACTGTTAACTTCCTAACTAGCTAAAACTTTAGCGACACAAGTAATATTATCTTAATGCAGTGTATTTCATTGTCATGCATTCAATTAATACTCGATTTCGGACGGTTGGACAGAATATAATGGACCAAGTGCTTGTAATTAAGCAACGCCTTCAATGAAGACAATTAAAATGTCGAATCATGAAATCTGCAGTGTCGAAATTTGATGAAGATTTAACAAAGCGGCACGCAAATGAAGCTACGGTATGGAAAAATGCGTTACGGTACAATTTTTTAATTGTACTTTTACTAGCCAAAGCGATTTGCGGTGGACTACTTCATCTCATAGAAAAATTGCGAATTTATAGCATTTGTTCGCGTAAAAAACGTTCCGCCTCATTTCACGCATGCTATACCATTTACACTTCCACTTAACAGTTGAATAAAAAGTAAACTTATTGCCTGCTTACATTATTTTAAACAAAGTTCAATAAACGCCATTCCAATTGTTAATAATTACAAAAATCCACTCGTTATTTACTTACTTTTAAATCACTTTATTAAATTTGCTGTTACCTAAATAACTCGAAAGATTTCAATCCACTTTAATTCCCAGCGTTAAACAACAAATCAGTTACGTGTAACTTAATTGATAACCAAAGAAAGATGCTTCTTCAAGTATTGGTTAATCATAACAGCCATCTTGAATTATGCCACGCTAACGCATTGTTTTACTTAGAAGTTGAATGAGTACACTTTCTGTTCAATATTACCTATCTCATCATACTGTAACTATAGATATCAGAATATCGATTCAGAGATCATTATACCATAAAAAACGCACATTGATCGAAGGGACTTCAGCGCATTTTTGTGTTGCAGATCTCAGTATCCTATTAGCCAGTTTTGACTCACCGATCAATAAGATTTTGTCGAAGGCTTACCACATTCCCTTTGTCGGTACTCAGTTCCGCCATCCCGTTAACCCACAACTCTCATTTTTGCGGATTTCACTAGAAACCCTCCACAAAATACTACCTACTCAATTTTTGGGGCACTTCTCATAGCTCGAGCTTCTATTGGCAACACGAGAAAGAGAGGCCGCAATTCCAGCTTTAAAAAACTGTTGACCACCCGAAGTCGACTACGAAGACTCGAAGCGCGTGTCTTGCAAGGGGTGGTTAATCTCGCCCCTAGGAAAATAAACAAAATTCCGTCACGCAGGAGTTGTGTGCAAGATATTACCGACGACACCAATTTAAAAACAATGGGACCAAAACTGTAGGAGAAGATGGGGAAAAATTGAAAAATCACCACGCTCGGAAATGGCGCCGACCCCACATCATGTAGGTAGGTACACGTAAACTCCTCGTCTTTCTACAAGCGATCTTCTACGAGCCCTCATTTGCTGCTATCCAGCCAGCCAGAAACACAGCCGGCCCAAGTGAGATTAAAAGCAACCTTTTTCACTTTGAGGAAAATACGCTAATATAATGAATATGAGCCATAAGAAATCAAAATCATAAGTATTAAATCTTAACTTTAATTAAATATGCGCGTATGTGAAAAGCTAAATCGGAAAAAGATGATAATTTTGACATTAATATCAATCAACACAATATTTGGAGCACGAACGGTAAATCTCATGAATTATGCAATGTTTCACATTTAAATTCTATTGTTATTTATCATCATTTACACGGTCAGTCGAAAAAGATTCTACTCTTCACGGTGGTGATAAAAAATAACGCAACGACTTTTCCGCTAAATTTACTGTTGCGCAAACTGGTAATTTAAAACTATAATTAAAGGGATACGTATCATGAAGCTAATTCGCGAACGATGTTTTAGCATATGGAATACTGTCAAATATATCATTAGCTTAATTTGAGGGATACACATACGCTTTTTTCAATAAAAATTTGTTTTTCGATGCCGATAGATGCCATAGTCTTTTTCACGATCTTTAAAAGTTTCACTTTCGTCAATTCACTGCCACTGGTCAGACTTTTTAGTATCAATAACTTGATTAATTGTTTGCTCAGTCGTTAATGTGAAATTATCATTGAGATTAATTGATATGGATAGGTCATTCTGTATTAATTGGCATAATTTTAAGTAAGAACAAGAGGTTTAATAAAAAAGTTTTAAAGTACATGAACTTAATTTTCTTTGGGGCTGGAGGCTGGGATTTTTTTTCTCAACGCTAATAGACGTATATAATATCAGGAATCGTGTAGGTATAGTTTAAATTAATCATATATTTCATTAAGTTGGCAATTTGAGTAGTTATTTGTATATGCACATATTTTAGCCTAAAAATAATTGGCATGAAAAACATGCAACCCATAAAATAGATGCGATCCGTATTTCTTCCTAAGTTGCTAGCACGAAGAATTTATGTGGTGATACACGAGATGATCAGCTAACAAACACCAACAGGTCGGAAATTTATTTATGTAATACACGTGTAGAAATGTCGCTATTTTTGTAGAAAAATCCAAAATCTTGTCCATTGACATATTCATGATCACACTGGGTGGGCACAGCGTGATGAGAGCGCACCAGCAAAGGGTTAGTTACTTTACATTTACATTTAATTGAAATTATGGCGTGAAGTAAAAGCTGCATAATGCAACGTTGGTCATAATTAAAAACGATTAATTCACGATAGTGTCTTATCTGATGAATATTGAAAACAGTCATCGTGAGCACCACGTCCTTGAATTCTACGCTACCTTTGGTACGGGTCATGTACAATGTAACAAAGAAAGCCATAAACAGCTAATAAATAAAGCCGGGGTAGCGTAGATATCATATTTCTAACTGTTTATAACCTTAGCGTCAGTAATTTGCATGCGGTTCGTATAGTGCAATTTTCTTACATAACTTAGAAAAGACAACAGACGCAACGGAAGAATGTACCTACACCGCAACGAATGCGGAACGGGGTGCTAAAAGAATTTAAACTCGCAAAACAAGAGAGAACTTACTGCTTACAACTATGACCCAATTATCACTCAACCGTGATGAAGTTACGCCCTAGTTAATTCAACATAATTTAAATTATTCAAAAAATTATACATGTCAACAAAAATAAAAATACATATTATATAATCGCCTCTTCCATATAGTTTAATTAATAAGTATATGATTTTGTATTAATTTAATTCCATACCAAGAATTATATAACTAATGAATATTTACCGACAAATCCGTGCGTGCTCTTTGCATGAGATTGCGGGAATTAATTACCTTTAATAATTCAATTCTAAATTTTATGAACTTAAGCTATACTTTCTCACAGTAAAAATACAAAAAAAGAATATAATAGAAGATGATCTGTTATGCTCATTAATTTAACTTACTGTTCATCAATCTTAAATTTCTCCACGTTGGGAACAAAGCTTACCTAAGTAATTTATTTCGTTTAGTTTATTTGAAATTATTACACTTACTAGGGACAAGTTTATGATACTGGTTTACTGTGTATTCTTCTTGTATGCATCGAAGTAACCTAATTTAAATATAGACAGCAACAAATTAAAATCTGCAAATGCACTTCAGGTTATAATTATTAGAATGTGAACCAACAGTATGATAATTACTCCGATCAATTTATAGAACATTTACTGTAACATCCTGTAATTAATCTAGCGAGGTCAGTATGTGCATATTTTGTAAATGTTTAATTAAAGATTTTCAAAAATTCCAGTAGTATGAATGCGAAACCAAAGCAGAAGATAAATGAGTTTCCTCCACGGGGAAGAAAAAAAAAACATCAATCAACCTTTTAACATTTGGAATCGCAGTTTTCCTGTTCTAATCGGTATTTAAACGCGACTTATTAATCTCACTATAATGATTTTGGTTTAGTTTTCAAAAAGTAGGTACTTAATGGTCGTTACACGAGTTCAAGCTAACTATTTTTCGGTTATAGGCGTGGAGTGAACAAAATTGCATACTCTGGGGATAATAAACATTACCTAGACTGAATTATATTTCGAAGCAAATATTACATGGCGCCATTTTATCCTCTATAATCACTCCAACCTCCCGTTGGTACTATCACAGATTTACGTATTAGCTACTTCACACCTCCTTTTCCACCGTAATCCGTTCTTGAAGCACGGCAGACATATTGGAGGCCCTGCTAATTTTATTTTATGTAGATGTGTAGGAAATCTGCCATGATCTATAAACGTTGAAATAAAAGACCCGTTGGAAATATTTTTATACGATAGTTGTTAAGGTAAATTTGATTCTAATTGTTTGTAGTATCGCCCTTTGGTTCCCATCTTGTACCTACTGTGTATTCCATACCTCTAATAAATGTAGGTACTATAATATCTCTTCTATACGAATATTAGCTGACCCGGTGAACTTCGTACCGCTTTAGGATTAATAAATGGTGTGTTCAGAAATTAGCAAAGGTAGGTTCGTGGTAGCAAAGCATCATATTTGTTTTGTTTCCTACATTTTTCGTATCCTACGTGCTGTTCCCAGCGAAGACAAATCCAACAAACCAAAAGTCATTAAAATCGGTACAGCCGTTCTTTAGTTAAAACGTCATTAACACATTTAAATCTTTCTGTTTTATATATAATCGGGAATTTTCCCATTTTCCGGTCAAATTTTCGCATGTTTTAATATCCTATGTCCTATTCCCAGGGAAGACTAATCCAACAAATTAAAAATCACTAAAATCGGTCGAGCCGTTCTTCGGTTATAAGAATACAAACACATTTCGGTCTTACTGTTTTATATATACAGTGAATTTTTTTTAAATGCGAACATAGGAGTTTGCATGCAATGTAATTTCCCTATGTTCGATTTAAAAAAAAACACATCAATCTATTGAGTAGTTCAAATGAGTAGTAGATACAATTGACAGCTGTCACATTTTTAAAAATACCGCCGTCCAATTTAATTACGAAATCGGTTAGGTTAGGTTAATGCTTAGAATGTCAAGGAGGACACTTCGAACATTTATTGTAATGGTTTTCGTTATTTATTTTCTTATTTTCTTCATTTATGTATTGAATAGATCAAATTAGTAGAATACCAGGTGCACATGACCTACAAATAATTGAAGGTTGGTTCACAATGAGTTGTGGTGTCAGTGCGTGGCCTGTGAGGTCAAGTTATCGTAAATTTAAGAAAAATGTATCCTAAAGTTGCCATGGCCTCACATGACTTCTTTAAAAAAATCTTACCGAATGCTCTTCATCATAAAGACTATTAGAGTTGCTGTTCATAGTCACACAAGTTGCGCGATTTGGGAATGTGAACCGCGCACACCTCATAGATTGATGTGTTTTTTTTAAATCGAATATAGGGAAATTACATTGCATGCAAACTCCTATGTTCGCATTTAAAAAAAACTCACTGTATATAGATGATAGTTAAGATTAAAGTCTCTACTGTTTGCTGCCTCTTTAGCACGAGGACTGGCAATTTCGTTCCCTTCAATTCCTGCATGTGCTTTTATCCAGGTTTTATTTTATAACTTTTTTCTTGCTTACATACTTGTATTGTAAGTAAAATTGGATGTTTAATTTCCTAATAGCGCATTAAAGTCGATTACACCATTTTAACGCGTTTACTACTATTGCAATTAAATCTGCGGAATAAATGCAAATGTATTTCAAGTTTTAAACTAAATCTAAGCTATCACTATGATACACTGCGTATCCAACCAATTGTCACCATTCTTTGATTCATCTGTAAAAATTAAATGAAAATTTGTATACTGCATTTTAACATCAGCTAAGAAAGCGTATTGTCTTAGTAGCAGTGGCAGCCTGCGATGGTCCGGGAAAGCGAAAGTATACAGAGTGCTGCATATAAATATGTGAAAAAATTAGGTGGTAGAGGGGATCAAAACAAGCACCTTTTCCAAATAAACCGAGGGTCCAACGTACTTCGTTTGGCAGCCACCCTAAAAAAACTGGTCAAATGTGCATTGCGTCATGATTTTTTCTCAGCAACCAGACTGGTGCACGTCCTTAAGTAGGTTTTGCGGTATGCCCTTTCTCATTTTGCAAAAAAATTTGCGTTTTTGTGTTTTTTTAAATTACGTATTCAATCATAAAAAACAGTATGTTCTATTTTTAAAAAAATTTAGATTGTTTTGACTTTCTTCTATCTAACATGGATAGTAAGATATAATAACGTCCCAAAAAGTCGAACTTTGCGTTTTCCACCCTGTATCCCAGAAACAAACTTAGCTAGATTGATCATGTTTTTCTTATTAATTTTGATGAATATAAAAACCCGAAAAACGATCAGAGATATGTATAGGACCTTATTACCAAAAGCGGAAGGTTTTTGGAGGAGCTAAAAGATGACAAAAAATGTAGCTACACTGTGTTCCATTTAAAAAAATGGAGATTTTTTAATATGAAGTTTTGTAATGATCGATGTAGAATTTTTTTCGACATTTGATAGTGCAAAAACAAACCACGTTCTATTTGAAAAAATCAACTTTTTAAGGTTTGAAGTCATTAAGATTGATTATTCCTTATAGAACACCCTGTAAAAGGGCGATCAACATTTAAAGCATTCTCATGTAACATCAAGTCAGTATTGTTGATTTTGGGAGACTTTTTAAAGTTCAAGTCAACGGAGTCATAGGTACAGGGCCCTAAAGAAACGAAGTCAAACGCCAAATATGGGCACTTTGACTGTACATGTAAGGCAACTATACATTTTGTATGTAAGAGTAAACGAACTAGGAGCAAATGCTAAAAGAACTGGATATGATAAGTTTTATTTAAATGGAAACACACAGCTACTTATGCACTTGGAACACAACGATCAATTTTTGAATAAAAATATCCACTTTCATAGCAACCAGGCCTTTTAAAATAAACAAATGCATGATTCAGAGAAAAGTAAGAAAGTCGTGACCAACCGTTTCGTTTCCTGTGAGAATCTTTTGGTTTCATTATCCAAATAAGTCTTCTTGCGATGGTAGACGTCGTTAAAGTTACCTACTAGATTTGTCTTTTCGATTTAAAACGGCATTACAATTTGAAGAAAAATTTCGTTCCGTCCACAGTACTGTTATGTAACCTTTGACTCTGCATTCTCTCACGTATATATTAGAAACTAATTTGATCATTACACCTACAATAATTTTAGAACACTTTTGTATCTCAAATTGTCACAAAGAGACTCCCTCTCGTGCCGGTTTCAATTGCTCTACACGACATTTGGAACACAATTTAAATACAATCGATATACCCTGGTTACATTATTAATTCAATCATGTACCTATAATCCTTTTCGTGCTGTTCATTGTACATTGATTAGAAAAAAGGATAATTACCACCACAATGGTCGAATAAGAGCTCTTTTTATCGTGCCAGTTCAGCTGCAGTACCACTATCCACTTTTTTCATCCCAATTACATAACCGCGTAATTCTTAATATTAATGATTAGAAGGAATGCATAATTAAATTACAAACACGATTAAAGAGCTTGAGAAGAAAACATAATGAAATGAACAGTAACTACAACACAATACTGTTATGTTGGAAAGTACTTCCTCGCCTAATTACCCGCAATTCTTATATTTTTTTGTCATCGACAGAGCAAAATTTCTGAAGGTAATTTAATCATGACCATAATTAATTCTCACGTACCGTTGTGAATTAATCCGCAAATAAAAGAATATTTTCCGGTAGCGTAATTGACCAGCTGAGAAAAATTAATTGCCCGCAGTAATCGCTCAAGTGACACCCCACAACCGTGTATTTGGCACAACGATTTGAAATGCTTTGGTAATTTTATGCGCTATAATTGCGTATAAAGCATAAGAACGAAACACGCGTTATATGCTCCTTATCAATCCGGAATGGAAAAGGATCGACAAGGAGCTACATTGCAATCAATTAATCAAATACATCAAAATTGAAGATACCTACTTCTCTTTAGCTCAATCATATGAGGATTTTCTCAAGAAAAAATTCCCGAAGTTTTTTTCTCAACGGTTTTATATGTATTTTGAACCGCTGAATCCGAATTTTTACTTTGCTAACACGCCAGAGGTGAGCTAACTGCGGCAGCCGCAAATAACCGCAAATTATTTGCGGCATTTTTACATTTTCGCCTATAACTCAAAAACGGTACGTTTCAAAAGAAAAACTATTCTATACAAAATTGTAGTCCACAAAATTTTATACATTTAACATGTAACAACCAAATCTGTAGGACCAACCAGACCACCGCCAGCGGCCGCGCCAAAACGGCTACTTTTCGTGCAACTTTTAGAAAATGCAAAAATGGTGCTCCGGCATATCCATTTAATATAATTTTTCACTTCTTATCAAGTGGTGATATTGGTTTTTCATTTACATGGACTTTTTTGACTTTGAAAAGTCACATGTGTTAACCGCAAAAGCCGCAAATGCGGCAAAAGCATCAAAGTGAAAAAAAACAACAAACAAGTGAGTAGTTGAATTTCACTAAAATTCAACGTACAATCAGAATATCCGATTGAAAATAATCTCATTGGCACCGTTACCGCAGTTGCACAACCGCAGTACCTGTAACACAAACTTATTTAAAAAACGCACAAAAGAAACAGTGATGAGTAATCCTCTGTATTCCATTGATGAATATTTCGAAATTAAATTCTTATAATTGTTCATAAAGTTTTCTATTATTGTAATTTGACTTGTGTAAATATCTTGTGATAAACTACACTAATAAAGTATTATTATTATTATTATATTTAATGGTTGACGAAATGAATTGATAGACACAAATATAGGTAAATTGAAATGCTCAAAAGCTTTTTTTATTGTTTAAGAAATGAAACTTGAAAAAAGTCTACATCTAAAATAATTTCCATTCTTTTATTTCCCCCATCTTTCCTTCGACTCTTTCCCCGTTTTACCAAATAACACTCTGCTCCTTCCTTTTTCATTACTTTACTACTAGACCGGGAGATGGTGACACTTTTTGTGGTGTGATTTGCTGCAAGTATGGCGACCATTCAAAGGTTTAATTAAGTACTCTTCAAAACGAAAATGGTGCTAACTCTCTGGGAGTGGGGCCGTTATTGCGTGACGATTGTTTAAACATGTCGGAAAATTGAATGATTTTGGACAATTTGCTACACAAAATTCTTTGGATTTTCTGGTAGTCGGTGACAAAACAAATGACGGAAACGAAATGCCATACTTTTCCGGTGGGCCTTATAGCCCGCCATACTCATTTGAAAGTGTCGATTGTTTGTTTTTTTTGGGTGATTTGCTACAAGCTCATTTTTTTATGAGCATCAAGTCCTCAATCAGTCATTCACGAAAATCAACCTGCCATACCGCAGCGACGGGCCCGCATAGCCGCCATACCGGCACAAAGATGTCATTTTTGTTAATAATTTTGGGCGATTTGCTACAGTATGGCATTTGGATTTTCTGAAAGTTCATACTCCACATTGATCCATGATATATGTGCCATACTCGTCATGAAGGCTAAAGATGGCGCCATACCCGAAAATCTGTTTTCTTAAAATATCTTTGTGCTATAACTGGGACAAGCAAGAAACCTAAAAACGACCTTCTCGCGAGCTTCAGAAAAATGATTTTATTATTAAAAATTGGTAACACAATCCATTCAAAAGAATAATTGTTCTAAATTGATTAACTTATCCCGACAAGATATAATATCGTACTCGCGTTTAACAATTACTCGTCATCGGTATCGGATTCCTCAACATCGTCATGGGTCTCTTCTGTTTCGTTCCCATTGCCCTCGACACTACTCAAATCGATTTGATTTTCATTCTCTTGGTCAATGCGATCCAGAATGATATATCCGACAGTAGTGGGCATGTCGTCGCCGTCGAACCAATTAAATTTATAATTATCTGTGTGCGTTAACTTCCATCCGTAATATTCAGGACCAAAATAATATATAAAATATATAAAATTATGTTGATGGGTATTTCAGATGCACAGTGCCAACTTTCTTAATTATTAAAGCATCTAAATGAAATTTGATACCTATATGCACTTAGAGGTGCAAAATTTGGTGTTGAAGTCACTGGGTGTTCAGATACTTATGGCGGGTAGTATAAACTTGATGGCAGCTACTATCTACTACCTGCGATCCATTGAATGCAATGCAGAACACAACGACCCCGACCGGGACCTCTTCAACTTGACTAAGAAGTTCGAGTGGGGCGGAGAATATTAAGCGACATAACATCTCGTGATAACACAAGATTGGCCCGGGATTCGTGTTTGAAACTTGATATTTACTTTTATTACACCTCAAACTGTCACGAAACATTGGTGCCATACTGTAGCAAATCGCCCAAATTTTCGGAAAATTCTTACATTTTTGAAAAAATATTATACATAATTGGCCCATGCCACAGGTATGGCGTATCGAAATTTCTATTTCTGACTATAAAAATAACTGGTGGAAAAATTTATAGGGTGTAGAAAATCGCCCAAAATTGTTAACAAAAATGACATCTTTGTGCCGGTATGGCGGGTATGCGGGCCCGTCGCTGCGGTATGGCAGGTTGATTTTCGTGAATGACTGATTGAGGACTTGATGCTCATAAAAAAATGAGCTTGTAGCAAATCACCCAAAAAAATACAAACAATCGACACTTTCAAATGAGTATGGCGGGCTATAAGGCCCACCGGAAAAGTATGGCATTTCGTTTCCGTCATTTGTTTTGTCACCGACTACCAGAAAATCCAAAGAATTTTGTGTAGCAAATTGTCCAAAATCATTCAATTTTCCGACATGTTTAAACAATCGTCACGCAATAACGGCCCCACTCCCAGAGAGTTAGCACCATTTTCGTTTCGAGGAGTACTTAATTAAACCTTTGAATGGTCGCCATACTTGTAGCAAATCACACCACAAAAAGTGTCATCATCTCCCGGTCTATACTCCTTCTTTCTTCTTTTGACTCGGAACGGGCCAGTCTGAGGGTCTTCGTAAGGACCCGGCTGTGGGTCTGTGGATGGAGCTGGTTCGCGGTCTGTGGATGGTAGGAGGACGATAGTGGGTGGAAAACGGTACCTTTCGTTGAGACCTCCATGAAAGATAACGCCCCGTCACCTTTGATCTCGAAAACACGCACGTTTTACTTTCAAAAACACCACCTCAGGAGATGGAGAAGTCCGAGGAGAAGTCCTTTAATGATCAAATTAATTAAGTATTAATCGTTAATTTGTTGTGCATTTTATTAAGAATTAAAAAAGGACGATTGGGACGCGTCTGGAAGAAATATCTATTGGTGATGTCAAAACTTTAAGAGCGAATATCTCGAAAACGGTCTGTCGGAGGAAATTATCCTCCAAGGCAAAATGAATCAACTGGGCGAGACATACCTATTGGTGAAGTCGAAGCAAATACCTTGACAACGTGTCGAAAGAGGGTACTCATACAAGGCAAGTGTAACGTCAGGAGGCCACATATCTATTGGTGATATCAAAGCTTTCAGTGCAAATATCTGCAGAATGGAGTGTCGGAGGATTGCGAATGTATACCAGGCGCTCTTTAAATGTTTAGGTGTAAAGAGCATCCTCCCCATTAATCATCTACCAAGAAAGTAACCCAACCATTTACTTTAAAAAAATGCACTTTAGCTGCACAAGAGTTGTGTACAATTTATACTTTTTTATTCATGTGTGACATTTTCAACTAATTCTATGCGAAATGAAATTACTCACTCAGGGCCCTCTTAGGCATATTCTGGGCCGGAGTGTGAAAGGTAATCCTGAGCCCCCCTGTCAATAAAAAAACAAATAAACCAATTGAATATGTTGTTGAGATATAAGAATTATTCACATCCGAGCACGATAAGGGAGTATTTTCAATCGGATATTCTGATTGTACGTTGAATTTTAGTGAAATTCAACTACTCACTTGTTTGTTGTTTTTTTTCACTTTGATGCTTTTGCCGCATTTGCGGCTTTTGCGGTTAACACATGTGACTAAAGTAGCCGTTTTGGCGCGGCCGCTGGCGGTGGTCTGGTTGGTCCTACAGATTTGGTTGTTACATGTTAAATGTATAAAATTTTGTGGACTACAATTTTGTATAGAATAGTTTTTCTTTTGAAACGTACCGTTTTTGAGTTATAGGCGAAAATGTAAAAATGCCGCAAATAATTTGCGGTTATTTGCGGCTGTCGCAGTTAGCTCACCTCTGGCGTGTTAGCAAAGTGAAAATTCGGATTCAGCGGTTCAAAATACATATAAAACCGTTGAGAAAAAAACTTCGGGAATTTTTTCCTGGAAACGTCAGTTCTAGAACCCCCGTTATTGTACTACTTCTGGAGTATTTACCGTCAATTTGAAACTCCTACTTACTAAGCAAGTGTTGATAGTAAGCATACAAAATTTGAAAAAAAGTGCAGTTGAATTTCATATACAGTTTTCAAACCTCTAAAACATTGGTTTTTGCAATTGCAAATGTATGCCATATATTGATGTCGACCGCAAACGGTAAACAATCAAAGTATTTTAAGCTGCGGTTTAATCTTTTCCTACGTTTACCGTGTATTTATTTATTTTGTAGGGAATTTCTTCTATTAAAATTTGCACAATTTCAGAGTAGAAAATGACAAGATTAAATGTTCTTTTCTTTCCAGAACCTACTACCACTACCAGAAGGTGCGAGTGCAGCTCTCGTGAAACCTACGAAGTATCATTACTACCCCCATAACCAGCACATTTTCCTACTACCAGAATGTGCAATCCAACAGGTTAGTAATACATAAACATATTCCTTGTTCTACTGACTGCCTGTAGGTGTGCAACGCGGTATACGTCCGATTAAATTGGACCCAACCATTGTGTGCGTGCCCCTCAAGGTATCGTGATCCCTGCTCCGCCAGCCTCAACTCTGATGATCAACACACTACAGAATTGATGACGGATCAAAAGAAGAGGGTGAGTAATGGCAACGATCAAGTCGTCGTCTTTTTACCAAACTATTTTCAGCGTGCCCTAACTTTGGTAAAAACCTGCGAACCAACTGCAGAAATGCGTATCTGTCGCAATCCCCGTGATTGGTCCTTGCTCGCTTTACAAAATATAAGAACTGGAAAATCTCACTACTTGGTAATCTGCCGCTGTCCGGATACCAGTACACTACGTAAGTTTCAATCAAATTTGCAAACTGGATAATAGAGAGCCATTTCAGAAGGACCCATGTCGCATGATCAACCAACATACGCTAGTGTTCCTGGTATTAGAGTCTATGGCATGATGTGCGTACAAGCACCAAAACGTCGAGCGAGAATTATAGAAGGTCAAATTTCCGGCAACTTAGTTTTCCCTTGGGACAAAGTAAAAGAACTACTAAAAACAGCAGTGTGGGATTGAAAAATCCAGAGCGAACACAACACGTTCAAAATTCCAACATGTGATAAAGAATTTTTCTAGATTAAGAAACAGTAATCTGACATAACGGCCGCATAATTAAAATTCAATTGTGGATCCAAACGAGAGTTCACAGGTGAATTCTGTGGTTTTGGATCCTTTTACTTTCAACGAACAGTTTGCTGCGTATCAGTTAGCAATAGAACCTAGTATACTTAGTAAATCTTAGTAGCCATATTAAAATTTAAACAATTTCCTAGACGGAACGTTTAATTTTTAATATGCCGTTGGGATATTTTCACTACCTTACTGACTAAACTAAGTTGTGAAAATATAGGTATTTGGTAAAAAAAACATGTACTTACCCTTGTGTAAAATATTTTTATACTATCGATAACTGATAGCATAAGAAATAGTAATGTGCTTAAGTATAACCTTAGCAAGTAATCAATCATTTTGTACGTTCTCATATTACAGTATTAGAAGTCGCAATAAAATTAGAAAGACTGCGCCCAACTGATTTTCCACACTTCGACACAGTAGTTAGGTACGTGCCCTTGCAAAAAAATGTAAACGAATGCTGAATCGTATTTTTGCATCAAAATTTTAACCTGGAAGTGGGTCTATGTTAAAAAAACTCTAAAAGGTCTTTTCGAAAACGTTGCAATTTTGGAAAAACGTGACGATGTGTGAAAATAGACATTGTAGTCGCATGGCGTACTAAGCTTAGCCTAATACAACTATGTATACTGTGTCTAAACATTTTTTATTGACACCAACAATGTTGCTTACTGAGGAATCGGAGCAGGCCACCCACGTTAGTAACTACCCAAAGACAGATGACTCAGCCGTTCAAAAAGGATATCGCAACCCCCAAGGTAACTGATATTCCCCTTACTTACAGGGCGAAGTAGACCCTCTCTCCAACTCCATTGTCGATTAATTTGAACAGATATCTCCTCTGAGAACTACTAAGACACCCTACAACCATTCCGGGTGGTGCAGGGCGGTCAAAAAGCAGAAATAGTTCAATAAGGCAAGGAAGACCAAAGCTACAGTCGACTGGGAGGTAAACCTAAGACTATATCAGAAGGATGTCAGAAGGCGCCAGAGAGAAGCACCGAAGAGCTTTCGCAGCTCTATAAAATCCCCACCTACTCTGCATCCCGTCTAAACAAAATCCACCCAGCTAGTCTGAGAAGAGAGAATCAGGGGCGGACTGGCACGGGGGGGGGGGCGCCACCTAGCCTGTAGATCATAATGGCCCGTTGGAAATTTATAAGTATGTGCTGTATTTAGTTTCTTGCACTATTAATAAATTATTAACACGTTTCTCTAATTGGGGTTGATGTTAGGTTGTTAAAAAATTCTGTTTTAATTGAAGTGTTTTACAATGAATTTATCATTTTTTGTCGTAGTATTTTGAAAGTGCTGAAATACAATGATAGGCGACGCACCTCGTGTGGATTGTATATTTTGTTACTTTTAATTATCAGCTGCAATTTAAAAAAAAACTGTATGGTAATTGATTTTCGAGAAAGGAGTACTTTAAAATGTTTTTGTGGTGCACTTCAGAGCTACACCCCCCCACCCCCCTCGCCGACACCTTCATAACTACACTAATACTTTAATGGCCCGTAAGTACCCAGTCCGCCCCTGTGTATAACCTTCCTTTTTTACCAAAATTCGACTACACCAAAATTTCTTTTAACTTTTGAACTAGTAGCCCAATCTTGGAACTGTTTGAAATTATGGATTCTACAGGCCACATTCTATAAGAAAATTTTTTTCCGGGTCGATCTGAGACAATTTTTTTTCGGGGCTCAAAAAAGGCAGTGTATAACCTTCCTTTTTTACCAAAAATCGACTACACCAAAATTTCTCGGGAAAACACTTTTTCTTATTAATTTGGGTGCGTAGAATCCAAATCAATTCGTACTTTTTCGATCAGACTTCTCAATCAAAAGTTATAGACTAGAAACCAATTTCGAAAGAAAATTCAAAGGGCTGTAACTTTTGAACTAGCAGCCCAATCTTGGAACTGTTTGAAATTATGGATTCTACAGGCCACATTCTATAAGAAAAATTATTTTCCGGGGCGATCTGAGACAATTTTTTTCGGGGCCCAATCTTGGAACTGTTTGAAATTATGGATTCTACAGGCCACATTCTATAAGAAAATTTTTTTCCGGGTCAGTTTTCAATGTTTTTTGTGTTATGTATTTCAAAAGAAATGGTAATTTGTTCTTGTTCATTTCTATTTATAGGTATAGTTTTTGTTTTTTTATGGTTGACTGCACTTCCCCACGCAGCGCACGCACTTTATTTATGAATGATTTTTGTTTTTCTTTTAACTGCATCTAATGTCATATCGGTACCCACCGATAAGTCGTTGACTTGGTGGAACCGTCAATTATGTTTTATTTTTTTGGAAAAATAAATGAAATGAAATTATTATGATTCGCCATAGTGATCATGTACGTGTGATAGATTGTGGAGAAGATGTTGTTTTAATAGATCTGACAACAATTAAACTACAGTTCGAATGGTACCTATCTCAAAGGGTAAGGGAAGAGGAGGAGCTGCTTCGTAAGTAGCTACTAGTGACAGGTTTTTGTTTATTGTTTAGATATTTGTGTGGACGTTCTTTGACTGTTTCCAATGGAATATTTGGGGAATAAATTCGAAATCTTCTTCCGAACACATACAAGATAGATACAGAAGCATTTAATCTACAAAATTGGTACCTACCTTTTTACATCTCACACTTGCAGTTTTCAGTTTGTAATAAATTCATAAATAGCAACCTTGTTTTTATTATAAAATTAACAGTTGCATGCTGGTTTGCATGCTTAGAGTAGTTCTTCCAGGAATCCTAAGATTTACGTTCAATTTTGTATTATGCCAGAACAAGATCTACAAAATATATCTATCGCAGTTTAAATTGTATTTAAATTCAAATAATTAAACGCAGGAAAGCATTTTCCCTGTTTTACTAAATTTAATATGAACGAACAAGTTACAACAGTCTTTTATTGTGTCAAAAGAGAAAGTAAATCATCGGAATCATTGCACTCTTTCTGTACACTTCCTTTCCTTTAATCAAATCGAGTCTTGAAGACCAAAATCCTGGCTATTGTACCCACCACAAATCACTGCAGGTACTGTCATTATATTAACCTGAATGCAGACTACAGCAGTGAAAGATTATTGTAGAGAAATGTTCATCAACTAATGAGACTCATGGAAGAACTACCTAAGTAAAGGGAAAAACTCACCCGCATTACTAGAAGAAACAGTTGCCAGCACCATCGGCTCCATAATCGTAATTTCAGTCGCCATGAAGGCCTTATGGAACAGTGATTTCAATGAGAGCACAACACTGTGTCTAGCCACAATTTCAATCCCATCGGATATTAAATCGCCCTGCCCGATCACATCAAACTTCGTTATCATGAAAGCACAGTTAGATATGCGCTCCTTGCAAATAGGTCCTGCATGGCACGCTTGCTGAAACGCTCGTAAAATACTACTAAAGATGTGTGTACGTTGATCACATTCATTGTGCGTTATGAACATGTTCGCATTATAGTTCTGGACAAGGTTAAACATGCCGTTTATGGTAGATTCTGAATCACTAATTAACAATATATTTCGTGCACTGAGTTGCCTGAAGATTCCGTCGTCTTGCTTCATAGCCTCGCCGAGTTCGTCACACATTTCTTTCACAACATTGGGTTCGTATGGTAACAGTTTATCTACGTATGGCACAAATTGTTCATTTTTTTCAAAACGCCCATATAGGTCGGATGGTGTAACTAACTGATGAGTGGTAATACTAAGTATTAAAGAATGATATTTTTTTAAAACTTCTAATATATCTGATGGTATAGGGGTTACGTAAAACTCTAAATGAAATGAAACGTTTGGGTTTATGTATATTGTGTCTGAAACTGGTGTGGCATTTGGACAGGTTATGGTTTCCCGTAGGGAATAAATGGGGTCAGACACTGCCATTGGTAGATCAACAAAGTTCTGACGAAGATCATTAAGGCACTTATCTAAATGTACTTTACCAGCTGTGCATAAGATAAACTCGCCCATTTCATTGGTGAAAGTATATACACTTGAGTCCAAATGCTGTAATAACTGTAATCCTATCCTCACAGCAGCTGAATCTCGTGGGGATAAAGGTGAAATAACATTATACATAATTGGCTCAGGTCTAGATTCTTGAAATATAGGCATAGGGTGATGATCACCAATTGTGCATTTAGGGAAGGGGAATGGCTGTGTAAGCGATACTCCACATATATAACCACAACCAAGACTTTCAACTTTTCTCCATTCCTTCCCAAGGGGTATGTAAATGTCTTTAATTTTAACTTTGACTAATGTGCTTGAGCCAAACCTGAGCTTCGCCATATAACTGCCAGGATCAAGGAATGGATTTACTATCGTTAATCGTTGTCCGACTCGAAAGAATCCCTTCTGAATTCGAACTAAACCCATAACTTGCAGGTCATCATCCGATAATAATAATTGCAAAAATGCATTTTCTGACATTTTAGTCACCTTCTGACACAATTCATAGTAATTTTTCTTAGACAGAAGAGGAACATTGGATAAATTCTGTATAAGAACTTTTCTCATTTTACCTTCAATCGTTCCTGGTGAGATACGATTAAACTGAGAGCGATAAAAACAGGAAGCATAGCTGTGGTCTCTGTTAAATTTACGTTCACGCGTGCCACACCTGTCCAGCTGAATAGGAGAAGGGAGTATCTCATAGCATTGTCTCGCTATAATAGTACCTAAACTCTTCCATCTTGTCATAATCATCTTTGTTTTTGTTCGGCCAGAATGTCTACCCAAGTGTAAATTAGTATCGTCAATATGTAGTTTCTTTAAAATCTTGGGAATTTCTTCAAACTTCTCTTCAACTGATATTTTATTGTATATGTGTATTAAAGTAGCCGAAATTAGTTGAGCAAAAACGTTAGGAATACATTTAGCCATCGCACCCTCTTTTATTGTGCTTGTAGCGCCACTAACATAAAGATCTTCCTGCCACAGTTTGTCGGTGAGACTTGCTACCGTTTCTCCCTGTATTAAATGTACAAAGAGTTCCGCAAAATCTTTTAAAGTGAATCCCCAACCATCAACTCCACTCGCAAAAATAACTTCTCCTTTCTGAGGACTAAAAGCTACATCGGATAAGGCAGCAGTTTCAACTGGATTTCCTTGTATTATGGTATTAATACAACCATTACAATCAGCAACTAGTTTCCAGAGTTTCTCAAAAATTGTAAGTCCATCGCACTTTAATTCAAGAATCAATCGGTCAATTTTATTAAGAACTAACACTACTTTCAACCCATCATTGTAAGCGCAGCGAAGTTCTGATTTCGCTTGAGGGGTCAATCCCTCCACCACGTCTACTACAAACAGAGCCCCATCACATAAACTAGTAGCGAAATTAATTTCATTTTCGAAATCAATATGTCCGGGTGTGTCGATCAGGTTAATTAATTGTGGAACTCGCCCTTCCGGATTGGACACGAAATGGGGGATAGCCACACAACTACTCTTCATGGTTATTTTCCGTAGCCGCTCGTCATCTCGGTTATCCATGAATCTTAAATTTCCAGCAGCTCTATCCTGTACAATACCGCTTAAAGTCAGTACGGAGTCAGCGATCGTCGTTTTCCCATGATCGACATGTGCCAATATACACATATTTCGGATTTGATGTGGTAAAAAGCCAGCGGGGTCCAACTTAGTTCCTAAAAAAAAAATTAAATCATAATATATCCTCATGGTGCATCTGGATGTACATGTAGAAACTTAAATGTTAAGTCTGTTTGACTTGTATGTCGCTACTAATTAAAACGCCTAGTTAGCACGAATCTGGTTTAATGCTCTAAATGATGGAAAGGAGATCCGCGACGGCGCAAAGATAGTAGGTATCTATTATGGGTTTAAGACTTGGTACTTAATTGTATTGTTGCTTGTGCTATCTGTTTAAATAAATATAAATAATTTTGTTTAACGTTTGGCTCAAAGTGAATAGGTTACAGGGTAGCAGCCTAACAGGTAGGTAAGTACCTATCTACAAAAAGAATGATTCTTCGTCGATTGCTAATTACCGACCCATAACTGTATCTGAAAGCCTATCAAAAATTTTTGAATATGCTTTCTTGGATCGATCGACAAAGTTTCTGGATCAATGTAACATCCTTATGATAAACCAACATGGTTTTCGAAAAGGTAAATCTACAAATACAGCTTTAATAAAATTTTATAATAGGTTTTTGCAATATATTGAGTCAGGAGAATGCCCTGTAGGAATCTTCTGTGATTTGAGCAGGGCATTCGACTGTGTAAATCAACTATTAAATATATTGAACGATTACGGAATCAGGGGCATTGCTATTCAATGGATATCCTCTTTCCTTCTTGATAGGCAACAGTTTGTCTCTTTAGGTTCCACTGCAACTGGTTACTCCACAAGTAGTGTCTCCGAAAAAGCAAAAGTAACTATGGGAGTCCCTCAGGGATCAATTCTTGGCCCAATGTTATTCATTCTATATATTAATAGCATTAGTCAAGTCACCTCTTATGAACATGTACTTTATGGTGATGATATTTCATTAATAGTATCTAACTCCGATAAGGCAACTTTAAATATGAAATGCACTACTTCGCTAACAAACCTCACTAATTACCTAAACAATTTAGAACTATATTTCAATACCGACAAGACTGTAATTACCCAGTTCCATAATCCTCAGAAAACACTTGGTGCGCTAAATATTCGTTTGAAAGACACCGTTGTATCGGACACCCCTTGCTCAAAGTTTCTTGGGATATATCTTGATAGCACCTTTAGATTTAAAACACACTGCGATAAATTAGCATCTAAGTTACACTGTCTGTCGTATGCATTTAGGCATCTTCAAAACGTTTTAGATATCAAGCAATTAATTTCTGTCTACCATGCCCAAATTGGCAGTTGACTGCGTTACGGTGTTTGCTTGTGGGGCAATTGTGCAAGCGCAAAGGCAGTTTTTGTAGCTCAAAAACAGGTTTTGCGCGTAATGGCAAAGGTGACCAGCATGACTTCTTGTCACGCCATCTTTAAAGACTTCGGCATACTGACCCTTGTTTGCGTGTATATATATATATATGAGATGTGCTTGTATATATATATATATATGGGCACAGATGTCGGTATGCCCGTAATAAAGACGTCCACTCTTACAATACCAGAGTCAAAAATATGTATTACATACCTTTTGCAAGGTGTAAATCTACGTCCACGGCCCCTGACATAATAGGGCTAAAAATTTTTAATAGTTTGCTGGCCAGTATAAAAAATGCACAGAATAAAAGAAATTTCAAACGTTCTTTATACTCTTTTTTAATCACACATTCCTTTTATAACTTGGACGAATTTTACCAATGTATACCGTCACCGCATAGCTAACTTATTCTAAATGTTGTTTTTTCCTGTATAGTACTCATCTATTTTATTGTTTGTTAACTTGTTGTTTATACCTGACCATGCCTATATGTGTTTTTTACAATCTATGGCAATAAATTATATTATTATTATTATAAGTGTGTCCTTAAATTTTGTCATGGACACGTTAACACTAATCCTTAGTGAGATATAGGTAGTTTCTCTTACGTGTAAAAATTCTAGGTATTTGTGTACCTATACGTAAAACGACTTTTGAAATTTAAATATTTAATTTAATTTTATTATACTATGTGCAATTGGTCAAGTAATTTTGACATCCACCGGGGCAGCGCTACCAAAGAACATAAATAAGTTTGGCTAACTCTAATAGTGACCAATATCCAATATATGGTAAATAGGATGTGAAGCAAAATTTAAGACATAGAAGTTCAACGCCTTTTGACTGTTTTACAAAAATAAGAGTCTAGTGGCGAAAAAGATTATGAGGAAATGATTACTGTCTCGCCAAATGATACCATTTACAAATCACAGCACGATGATTATTTTAAGTAAATGCTGTTATAAAATTGTCTAAGGTTGTAATTATAAAAGCAGTTCGTCATTGTTTTAAAAACTCGCAAGTGAATATTCACCATTGTGATGAGGTAACTGCCAAAGTGGCAGATTCAGATTCTCTGAAATAAGTGCCCATAGGTGCTAACTAGAACCGTCCGACCGTTCAAGCTAGGAAAAATGATAACGAAATTTGACATTTTCGGCGACATCTCAGTTATTTTCAAAGATTTTTCAAAAATTTCAAATGCATTTTTTTAGTCACAAAGAAGGGCAACTTTGCCCCCATTTAACATACACTGTATCGATCACCATTACGGAGATCCCAATGGTGAGCCACCGAATTTGAACCACTCTTTACGTACAATCTATAGCTACGCAATATTTCCATGACAAAAAATAATCACATTAACATTTAAACATTTCTTGTAACGTTAACAATATGAATATTATTTAAGCAGATATACTACACAAAAACAGGCCAGAACAAGTACAATTTTAACGCAAAAAATTAATAAATGTGTGTGAACGAAACACGAAAAGTATACAGATTACTGTAGTATAGCTAAACTTAATATTAACTAATAGCAGAAAATGTAATTCCCAGAATGAACATAGAAAATAATTTTAGTAATAAATACGTTAATAAAGCGAGTAAAACAAAGAATTGTTGTTTTAATATAGACTTAATTAATAAACTGTACACATACATATCTCAGTAATATTTACAGAGTAGTTAATAACATAATTGTTAGCTTATGTCTTAGATGTGATCGGTCTTGATGTTTTTCAGAAATATATTCGCTTTTGTGACATCTCCTTTGGAAAGATCTTGATCAGTCTCCTTCAATTTGTAATAATAGCAACTCTGAAAGTAGTATCCAAACCTGGTAATGTCATCTTATATTCTGCTGCCTGTCTATTGTTAGCACTGCTGAAAAAGACTTAGTAAATACTAAAAAGTATGTATTCTTGCAACGTAACACTGAATTTCAGTATTAAACACTTGTTACTCCAATGTGTATCACAGTATATTAAAACAGCTCATTTTGGCGCCCATTGAAACACAATAACACTTTCTGAACTAGGCAAATCATCGGTACATCAAACAAATGAACGGAGCTGCGATACGATAGCGACTGCAGGGGAGTTAATTGACTAAGCCATTTTAAGGCATTTATCCAAGTAGTAAAAACCAGCCTCACAGTACACCAATATATTATGTAAGGGGATATAAGACCGAATTGGTACACAGATATAACGCAAATGGACATAATTCCACCACAAGTGGTTACACAATTACATTGTTAATACCTAATGCTTTTAGCTCTCTGGGAGCTTACAACAATATCGAAATATGTGTAGAAATTACCTGTCTCATCCAGTGGACCTCGAGACGGAGAGTAACGAGAAGTTGAAGAGCCAGCGTTTGACATTCTATTATTTCTAGTAAACTGAAAACAAATCAATTACTCAAACTATTTACACAAATTTTGGATAATTACAAGCGCACATAATATAATAAAAGTAACTGCACAATTTTTGATATGTAGAAAAGGAGGTTATGAAAACATACACACTAGACCCACGTGAAAATGGTCTAAAGGGGCATGCGCGAATGGAGTGACGTCACACTCTGTGTCTAGACTGTGGTCGATTTTCAACAAGGTCCGTGATCTAGATACATTACCTGGAGTATTGTCTTCACTGCTGTGGGGCCTGTTGCTAAGATGGACTCTTCCGCACAGGGCTACTTACTCGGATGATCTCGCGATTGGCATAACTATGAGTTTCCAAACACCGTGAAAGAACTCATGGGGCTCTTACAGAGCTGGGTAGTGCTTTGAAAAAAAGTGCTTTCTAAAGGACTTCAATTACTTTTAGTGCTTAGAGCTCTGTGCTTCAATTACTTTTCTAATTCAGGAAGAAGTGCTTCAATTACCAAGCACTTTTTAAAAGTGCTTGGGGCTTCAAGCCCTAGTGAAGTGCTTGAAGCACTTTCATAGAATTTCGAGCACTTCTAAAGAGCTTCAAGCACTTTTCAAGGGCTTCAAGCACTTGTAAAGAGCTTCAAACACTTATAAAGAGCTTCAAGCATTTTCAAAGAGCTTAAAGCACTTTCAAAGAACTTCAAGCACTTTTTAAGGGTTTCAAGCACTTACATAAAGAGCTTCAAGCACTTTCATAACGAAGCTCTTATCGCGAATTTCGAAAACCCTTACTCTTACTCATTCCTTCACTCCTACTCTGACGTTACCTACGTGTTCCGTGCTTCATTAGTGATTAGTCTGCAGTCTGCACGTCCCATTTTTTTCTTGTAGTACCTACTTTTATAGCACATGCAGTTATTACTTCTACATTACCCATGGTTACGGGGAGAGTACTGTACCGATAACAACATTTTTTTGTTTACCTAATCGTTTTAAACGAAAATTTGGACAAGCAAAACTTTAGCGATAAAACCACTAATTCCTCCATTATAATTACGATGCGGAAGTACTGTTTCTAGTGTGTTTTTTAAAGTGTTTCCAGTTTTATGAAAGGTGCTTTATATTGTTTATATTTATATTAATTTATATTGTCAATTACTGTGATTCAAGCACTAATGGCTTCAAGCACTTTCAAAGGGCTTCAAGCAATTTCGAAGGGCTTCAAGCACTTTCAAAGGGCTTCAAGCACTTTAAATGGCTTCAAGCACTTTCCAAGGGCTTGGTGCTTTGTATTTTCAATTACTTTAGAAAGTGCTTGGTAATTCCAAGCTCTTTCATCACATAAAAGTGCTTAGGGCTTGCAAGCACTTTTATCAAAACAAAGTGCTCGGTGCTTAGTGCTTCAAGCCCTTTTCAAGAGGGCTTTACCCAGCTCTGGGCTCTTAACAGTTGGATAGGTGGTGCAATAGTCGTGACCTCTCCGTTAACCCGGAAAAGACTGAGGTTGCTCCATTTACAAATAGAATTAAAACGGACCTTGTTGGGCTCACTCTTCGAGGATGAAATAACCACGTCGATTTTGGTCATAGAAGCACTTCTGGGCAGTGGCGTACGTAGAAATGTATTCTGGGGGGGGGGATTAAAAAAGTTCGTGGCACATACAGTCATACAGTGCGTACTAGAAGGGGGACGGAGGGGTATTCTGGGGGGGGGGATTAAAAAAGTTCGTGGCACATACAGTCATACAGTGCGTACTAGAAGGGGAGGGGGGGGGTAAGAAATAGAAATTGGGTTGCAGGTTGCTGATGCTGGTAGTCATTTATCTATTTATTATTGTACAGGCGAAAAAGATTAGATTAGAACGGTATTTTATTTCTTACTGCTGACAGGCCCCTTTATTGCTTTTGCTTTAATTAGTCAACGAAAACTTTGAATAAGTAATAGGTATATTTTTGGGCAAAAAACCAATTTCGACAAAAAATTCAAAGGGCTGTAACTTTTGATCTAGTAGTCCGATCTTGGAACTGTTTGGAATTATGGATTCTACAGGCCACATTCTATAAGAAAATATTTTTTCCGGTCGATCTGAGACAATTTTTTTTCTGGGCAAAAAAAGGCAGTTATTACCTTCCTTTTTTACCAAAAATCGACTGCACCAAAATTTCTCGGGAAAAAACTTTTTCTTATTAATTTGGGTGCGTAGAATCCAAAACGATTCGTACTTTTTCGATTAGACGTCTCAATCAAAAGTTATGGGCAAAAAAAATTAATCTTAGTTCTCCATATAGTTCCTTGATTCTGCCCTTTAACTCCTTGTCTATTTTCTTATCTTCCATAATTTTTCCCTTTCCACTTTGCCAAACGCTGCTTTTTAAATCTATGAAAAATCCAAACACCTTTTCCCCCTTTTTTCCAGTTCCTTTTCCACCAATCTATGTAATATATATACACAGTCCATCTTTCCCCTGCCTTTTCTGAAGTCCATTTTCGCCATAGTCTCGCCTCTTGAAAATCGACACCACTACCCCTTCCCCTTCCTTCTATTCTTCGGGAAAACCCCCTCCATAACTTGTTTACTAGATTCCGGATCCTTTCCTTGACCCTATCTGTGTCGAAAATCCAAGCATCATTTTCTCATCTCCTTCAGCTTCCTCTCTTCTCACCTCTTTCATAACCTTTTTCTCCTGCTTTCCTTGTAGTACCTTGATCAAATGTTAATTTTCATTCCTGTAATTGTATTTTCCGCCCACTTGTTCTATTTCTCTGTTTTCCTCCTCGTTTTCCTCTGTTTATCAACTTCCAAAAATCCTCTGTTTTTTTTATTTCCCAGATTTGCTCTTGGCATTCTTTCGGTTTCTCTATGTTTTTTTCTTTACCTTATGGGCACAAAAATTCCTGTTTTTAAAATTTAAAATTTTTATTTTCGTCCTTTCGTGAAAGGCAGGACGCAGGTACCTCATCTCAGTAGCAGTACTAAGTACCTGATACCTATTTGTTATTTTGGGCATCAATGTAGCGAATTGCCGATCGATGCCGAATAGCCAAATCGTTGACTGATCACTCACTGAATAGTGAATACTGAATACTACAGAATATTTAGATTTTAGTGACTTTAACCAAAATCAAAATTGCTCTCTATACCTATATATTATTACCTTTATTTTAAAGTGGGCGGAGTATTACCTAAATACCTAATAGCTATTATGATAACTCAATTCTTCTGGGGGGGGATATATCCTCTTCATCCCCCCCCCCCTTAAATACGCCACTGCTTCTGGGACCAGAGCGTTTACACTTAGCTGTGGAGGCAGAGGCTTCCATACAGCTAAACGATTGGGAAAGGATCAAGGCAGCCTTGGGCGCGGGAAGATTAGGGAGGAAATCCGATCCCCTCCTCACAAGAAGGAATGTGATTCAGGCTGTCTTACTAAGATCGAAGAGTTATAGGGTCATTCTCTTGGACAAGGAGCAGTCTTCCAAGATATAAGCCAAATTAGGTCAACCTGCAGGACATTGGGCATGTAGGAGAGTCCACTTGCAGGTTCTGTGGCGAGGCAGATGAAACTATTGAGTAGGTACTCTATCACTGTGACACCTTGATCAGCTCCTTGGTGACAGTTACCTGGAACCGGTTAAGGTTACGCCTAGGCGAAACATCGTCCTATCCTTTAATCTTTGAGAGGAACAGGCTCCGACTCTAGTTGCGAAAGAAAGGGAGTAGGCAAAATTGACCTTTCGAGTCCCAAATGCTGCCTGGTCAGGTTCCCCTTATGAAATAGACATAGGCTAAAGTAATTAAAAAAAGAATGAGGAATACCTTTGCGGATGTGCCTGTATTAACTGTGCAACCGATATGACTAGAACCTAATAATTTAATTCTCTTAAAAGCTGCATTCTGCACTAATAAACTAAAATGGATTGGTCTATTGGTTGAATGGAAACTAAACACACAGGAAACAATCAAAACAAGAAAAACGAACAGACTTTTTATTCAATACACAAAACATTCAGTTAGAAAACTGGTTTATTCACAATTCTAACTACAACATTTTTTTGCAATTCATAAAATAACTTAATATAATTAAGTACCAGATAACATAATACAAAACATATTCACAGCCCAAAAATGGTAAAATGTAATTAAATTATTCCAAAATAGAAGGCATATTCTAAAGTGTGTTCCATTATAATACGTATTTAGTTCAATAAAGGTACTATATCATAATCGTAAAGTTGTTTATATGTTTTTTCCACTTAGACCCACTAAACAAACTCTTGTATCAACAGTCGCATGTCCAATGTCTCCAGTTAGTGAATCCAACTGTCATACAAACAGATTGCACTATCATGGACAACTTTAATGGGCCTGTTGCACAAAACTAATTGAATTTGTGTTAATCTTGATGGTGGTGTTAAGGGACTTGAATATCACCACCATAATTAACACAAGCTAAGCACCGGATCATCGGTTTGTGCAATCGACCATGTTTATAATAATAGCGTGCAGCTTACTCATGCTTCAAAGAAAAAAACAGTAAAAAAAAACATGTGTAGGCGCAGAACCGAAAAATCAAGAGCAGCAACTAATCACTAGTAACAAATTATTTTTGAAACAAAATAAAAAGGGTTAGAAGCAAAAGCGCTGGTGCAAATTAAAGAAAAAAAAAGCTGTATTCTTTTGCTTCCAACTCTTAATATGTACATCATTGATCGCAAAAAAATAACTTATAATACTTCATTGCCAGTTCCCAACTTGACTAGATTTTAGGAAAAAGTAAATTATACACTTAATTAATTATACCGAATTAGTTTTGAAAATCAGACCGTAATGGAAATTTGTTAACAATCAGCCTTTTCCAGATATATGCCACACACTTTCGTAGAATCGATAAAAATAATTTAATCGCTTTTCCGATCACTACAAATTATGGGTGGACACTCTACAATCGCTCAATGTCAATGATAGCAGTTTTCGGCATAAGCCCACTTTAATTTTTAACACAGAAACACCCCGCAGTTGAGGGAAGGGTAAAAATAAATCTATTTTTATACATAAATCTCTAATGACTCAAGCTCACACCATGCGCTATTCAAGTAAAAATTTATGAAAACCTCACACTGGCTTGCGAATTATATAGATTCAGAAATATACCGAACGTTTGGGATGCAAAAGCAAGATTTCAAAAAGTGGAAGAGCAGCTCTGTTTTATGTTTAATCGATAATGGTGTAAAGTGTTCCAATGCACCTTAAGTGAGGAACAGAGTTGCTAGACATAATAAAGATCATCTATTCAAATTTGGACACGCATAAGTATATGGTAAGTTCAGTTAGTAAAGCTGGAGTTTTTGCAATTCTAAATAAAATACTGCTTAAACCATGGTATTAGGCAATGTGGTAGTTGGTGATAAAAGACTAACAATATAAATTAGAATCAGTAGTTTGTGAGGCTATAGAAACCAGAAGAAAGTAATTTAAACTCATTTTCTATAACATTTATATTCGATGTAGTTGAGTTTATACACCACATTTTAAAATTTTATTTCCTAAATGGTGGCGTTAATATATTGTGGACAGTCATATACAATAGTATATTGAAAGACAAGTGTTACAATGCGACCTATTGTAATACGACTATCTTGTGGCACGAGTGGCGACGCGTAGCCACGAGTGTCCGCAAGATAGGAGTATTACAATAAAGCATTGTAACACGCGTTTTTCATACTATTTTTTCTATTTCGGTGCCTTAATTTAATTAAAAAAATCATTATCAGAAACTATAGGGAACATTAGAACTAACATGTTTTATGTTGGGAACACTTTTTATGCCGTTAAGTTTTAGGTTGGCAGCGTAGTAAGACTTGACATTTTGAAGTTCAAACATGGAAGTACCCAACGAAGTACCTACTTGTACTAACTAGTAACTGCCAACTTAAGAAATGAGTTACAAAAAAAAACGACTATAATCACTGTCTTTGTACAACTGTTTTCGGCCTAAAACAGTTGTACAAAATCATCATTGTGACACCGAAATAGAAAAAAGTAAATTACTCAATGAATCAACTGATAAGAAAAATTGTTTGACCATTTACTTTATTTTGCCACATAAATATCACAGTCAAAAGATTCCAGAGTTGTTTACATTGGATTGCAGTACTTAAATCATAGGTGAATTTTGATATGTTAGTATGTACTGCCAATCATCGTCGTAACTCTTGAACCACTCGATTACAAATTAAAATATCTTGTTTGGGGCAGCATAAATGCTGTCAACGCAAATTATAAAAGCAAGTGAAAAATTAGTATAGAATTATCACAAATGGGACATGTAAAATGAGAAAACCAAGCTGCATGCCAAATTCTGCTAGGATTAGTAGCTTTAGATCAATGAGAACAGTAAAAAAAAGCACTTTACGAGAAACATCACTACAACATGAAAACAAATTTTACGCTAGCCTGAATCTGACTCCAGAAACAGTATCTTTAAGTACAGATGGCGACATTTGCAATAATTTAAAGATCTGATTATTTTGCACTTGCAGATTTTCACCTAGGATGATTCCTCTCACTACTCCTCATCTTAGCTCTTATAATATTACACCTTTAAAAATCGAAGGCTGAATCAAAATTGCACAAAAAGTTGCTTTCATTGACATTCTCCAATCCGAACTTATTCTTCAAGTCACAAAAGCTTATTTTAACTTAAATTAATTTCACAGGGTTTTTCAAAATTTGTTACTGACTGTGCAGATACTTACGTTAACCTTATGTTTCAATTATTGTTCACTCCAATGAACTGTACGGTAATGAAATAATCGAAAAAATATTAGATACACTGTGTCTTAGGCAGAAAAGTGAGCATTAACTAATGTTTCTATTCAACTCAAATCCAATGTTGTGATTGACATAAAAAAAGGAACAGAAATATTTTATTTACCAGTACTGTGTTTACAAGTCGTATAGATTTTTTTTAAACATGAAATCTGATGTAGCGCATGTCACCAGCAAAAATTATACCCAACAAGACTTACTGAAGCAGGAAGACTACTAAAACGAAGTATTTTGGGAACACATTCTATATTGATGCGCTGTACCTGTACCTGTCCGGGAAACATCAGACTTCCAATCCAATCCAGGTTCACACACAGTCATTTAATAACATTGTAACGTTCAATAAAGTGGCACAATACAAAGAAACATAAAGTATGTTTGCGAAATCACACAGAAAATGGCCCTAACAATTCATTTACTTAAACCTACCTTGATATTAAAAAAAAATCAACAATTCTATAAAGAGAAACGTTAAAACTCCCAACGAAAATACTTAGTTGTTTACACTTGATTTCCACTTATGGCATGGACCGGCTGTATACGAATAAAATCAAAAAATTAAAATTGGAGAAAACATAAACGTTTGAAGAAGCGCAAATGCATTAAACATTTTTATTACCCACCCTGTGCATGTTAGAATGCCTCGCGTCGTTATGTAAATAGTCGCTCTCTTCAATGCATAGATCCGAATCTGAATCCCTAGTGATACGATTTTGACCATCCTGCATTGTATAAAACTGAACAATTTGAAATTTAACAAGTAAATTTTCTCACTTGTGTCATCTGCTCGGTTGTAGTTAGTAAGCGTGCGATCGGGTTACAGCAAACTGGTAAAGTTTCCAATAACGTCGGTCGCGAATGAGTTAATAACGGCTTCATATAATGAGTATCAAAAGATCCCCATGCTCTAGCAAGGAAAGCCTTTTCGTTAGGCTTCGGCATTTCTTGTCCTGTAGAATCAGCCCACTCACACCTCGGTGTGGTGTTGCCCTAAGCAAAAACCAAACTCATCAGTTCTTAAGAGATGGCAAAACTTACACTTCTTGATCCTTGGTTCGAAAGAGGTTCAGTCTCCTCTTCCATGCCAATCCTAAACAAAAAATTCTGCTTGAATTGTAGTATAGCAAGGTCACTTACGGTATTTGAAACCAACGAAGCAAATTCATGGCGGCTCCACCTTGTATAATTACAGTAATAATAACAATAAGAGATGTAGTTGTGAGCATCGCTTGACGTGCTTCAGAAACGGTATTACGTATAGCCAATGCGAAGGACATTGCACCCCTTAAACCTAAAATTATCCAATCAGATCAGTGAAATGTTTTTCTGTGGACTTACCCGCGAAAAAAAGCATGTGCTGAAAATTACCGGGAATTTTCGGTTTCCTACCTAAATTGAGTAAAAATGAAAGCGGATAAATATTCGTCGCTCTACCTATAGCAGCACAGGTCTTAAATCTAGTTAAGGAAAGCAATCGACACAATTATATACAGTAGGCACACCCAATGGTATTTATTTTGCATTAGATACCTTCTTAATTATATTGCATTAAATTGATTGTTTTTTTAATAGGTTTTGAATCAATTTTTCTATATATGTATAGGTAGCTTAATTTATGTTATTTTGATGTGCCGTCTGTAGTATTACACACCATTGTCCTGTAATTGGAATGATTTTTTTGTTCTGTTAGGCAATTAAATATTATTATTATTATTATTGACAGCAAAACCACGCGTGTTTTTGCTTTCGTTGACGCCAACCTGCGTAGAGTGCTTAGTAATTACCCGCGCGCGTCGGTCGCGTAGACAAGATGGCGGACTTTTTGTACCTACTCTTTTACTGTAGGAATCTATGGGAGGATTTATTACCCACATTAGTAGATGTAGGGTTAAAAAATGCGTTAAATCCCATACAAATCCACTAAGCTGGCATAGAACAAATTTGGGTGCAGGATTACCGAGCGCCTACTGTACATACAAATCTGTAAACTGGTCACCAAATAATAACGTCTCGATTATCCACACACATACACAGCAGATGGGGGTACTTCGTTTGTCCATGCAACTTCTTCCAGATCAGGATAATCGAGAATCCATAAAATTCCAAAATAGAAAAAAATGCCTTTTGTAAAGGATACAAAGCCTGCTAATATAAACAATGGATCAAAATGATGTTTGGGAAATGTAAACATGGAGACTCCTATGTAGGAAAATATGAAATTTTCCGCCAAAAAATTGAGCAGTTCAAACATTTGCTTGGTTCTCATTCTCGAATCGTCCGATAAGTTATTGTAGGTATAATGAGCTTGGCAAATGCCGCAAAACAAAACGGCGACAATCCCTAAAAAAACAGAGTTCACACAGATCACAATATTTAAGTACCTACCTGTCAGATTGGCGGCTTCAGCGATAAGAAACGTACTATATGACATTAAGACGAACAATGCAGATTCTAGTAAGGGGAAATCACGAACTCTTGTAAACTTTGTCATGTGCACCAAATTAAGGAAGACATATTTGTTATACATAGCTATAATAAAAGTTACTTAATAAAAGGATATCAATGCTGTCACGCAACCCATTAGTGCGCCAATAAGAAGAGAAAGAATGAATATGTAAAAGAAATCTCCGAGGGCTTGGAAAAAGGCTTTCGTTTCGAAACCACCTGTACCAGACTGGTAGCGTTCTCCATAATTTTGAATGGAACTGCAATCAAACAATCGATTCCAATGTACAACACCATCACGCAATACTTACCCACTAAGTACAATAGCGACGGCGTCATTTAAGACGCTTTCACCAAAAACAAGAGCGTATAAATTGACATCTACATGTAAATCGTGGAATATAGCGAGAATCGTTAACGGATCGGTCGAAGAAATGAGAGCACCGAAGTAAAGTGTGTCTAGAAATGTAAAACTATTCGCCATACGTGGTGGCATTAATTGTACACAACCATACATCAATGCCCCAACCACAAAAGAAGATATAGTAGTTCCTATTATTGCATATGTTAGTATAGCACCCAAATTGCGAAAAAAATATTTCTGCAACATGATTATTGTATTAGTATTTTGTACTTGCCAATGAGAATGCCAGTTTTACTTTAAATCAATTTGAATTAAAATGGCATTCTCAAATTGGTAATAAACATTCTTATATCGACTGTTTAAAATTGATGAATTCTATCCTAAAACTAATATTATAAGGTAAATATGCCAAGTATTTCAATCCATAAATTAGTGACAATGTTCTTGTCCTGTATGGCAAATACAGATTTGATATGAGAAACTGCCATTTTACAAACGCCAAACTGTAGTGGTATTGACTCTCTCTACTCTATTTTTATTGTGATTTGGGTCCTAATATTGAAAAGGGGCAAGAAAGGTCACGCAATAACCTAAATTTAAAATTTCTGACAAGCATAATACAACAAAGAATGAGTTTTTTATAGAACTGCGTAATGTTTTTCATTATGATTTGCCTAACATTAACTGGCAGACCGCTTGTGCTCCTATAGAATTATCAATGATCACCATTATAGACAGAAATCGGGTGATTCAAATTTTTGTGACCCTCAAATTCAAGGGATAACTTGCGAATTAGAACTATTACGGTAAATACGAACAATAGCGGAAGGTTTAAACGCATTGCTAATAAAGGGCTGTAGATGAGGGCAGAATTTTGATTTTTTTTAATATAATCACATTGTGAATTTTTTGAAATTTAGATTTGCTGTCAAGCGGTCGCAAGCAGAAGTACGACGATTTTGAAAAGTCAAAAAAACTTCCGATTGCAATTCCTAATTTCCTCCTTGCGTGAGAGATCTCCAAAAGAAAAATTTTATCGCAAAAATGTCTGGCATGGCAATCATCCATGGCTTAATGCGCGCTATCTTTGTCTAGATTTTTTCGCTGCTTGAAACGAATATTTTATGACAGCTCTTCTACTTGAGCTTTATGGCGGCTCGACCTGTAATCCCCACAGAAACGACCCTCCACTTTCTTGACGGTCAAAACTTTATGCTCTCGCGGCCCCCCTTCCTCCACACTAGTACCACAGAACTTACAGTGCTCACAAAAGGCGAATAGTTATGTAAATTGAGTTTTTATTTTTGAAACAGGGAGGGGCTATAGTCTTACGCGCACTTGAAGGGTAATGTGTGGAGCCTGTAAACACAATTAAATAAATAAACAAAAATATTTGATGTACTACAAAAAAAATGCAGCACTCACAACCAGGGATCTGGATCGGACTGAAAAAACCTGAAAACCATTTGTAGAAAGAGACGCTATACTTTCGAGCATATATTATGCGAGACAATACGATCAAAACACTTAGGTGTAACGAAAGTAAATAAGTACAGGGTTTCTGATTATATTTTGACCCCCACTACTTATTTTCAGTATGATTGTTTTTTAACTTTTCTTCAACCAAGCAGTCAGTGTTGCCAGGTCTACCGATTTTTCGGTAGATCTACCGACTTCAGCAGTAATCTACCGATCTACCGATTCTGCATACATTTCTACCGAATTTTAAGACTTCACGGTGAAAAACAAAAATAACATTAATTTTCATATCCATATCGTATCTTAGTGGCGGCTTGTCCTAAAGGGCACAAGGGCACGTGCCCACTTAATTACCTAGATAAACGGCGGAAATAAATTAGCACGTCAGTCAACGATTTAATTTTATTTTTACGTACATTTTCATTTATAACTGATAGTATCAAACTTTCCTTCCGCAGGCAAGTTAGACGTGTCATTCCTCCTTTCTGGCATTCCGCTCTTATCAAGTTCGTAATTGTATTACCTTACCGTCACATCCTTTGCTATTAATACCCTGATATACGTTTGCACTTTTGCTAAAATAAAATGTGTGGATTTTTAACGTTTAGAAAGTTTGTTTTATTTCATTTTTTAGCAATTTTAAGTTATGTTTTGTTCTGTTTTTAAATAAAATTGATAAATTGGATATTTCCACCTTTTAATTAGTAATTGTGCATTATGTATTCCCGTTAAAACCAAATCTACTGAAATTCTTCGAAATCTACCGAAAAATGACGAAGCAGTCTACCGATATTAATTAGTCGGACCTGGCAACACTGCAAGCAGTACAGTTTTGTAGGGGAATGTAAACCCCTCGTAGCTCATATTATTTTCATTATCCCTTTTTTCCCCTTTTCTTTTGAAGTAGTGAAAAATAGGCTAACTTATGGTCTATTGTAATGCATACCATTATAAATCCCAAGCCCCCATTAATTACCTAGGGATATGAAAATATGATGTCCATATTTGTATGGGGAATACCAAATTCCTACCATCATACCAAAGCTACTTCGCATGTTAGCTAATGATAAGTCATACACTAATCTCAATGCTTATTAGGCGTAATTATTTTTATTTCCCATTACTGGCAAAATATGTTTCTGAGTGTTAATCTATTAGATAGCTAATCTGTGGATTGTAATTTTTAATATAAATTACTTCACGATAAGTCACATTACTGGCACATTTACCCTGCAAGACAAAAATCGGAGTGACTGCAACAATTCTGCACAAGTTGAATGTCTCATGTTAAAAATGCTGATGGCAAATTGCAAGGCATTATATTACCTACATAAAATGCTTATTAAGCATGCAGATGGTAAAACACTTACTCTTTTCAGGCTATATCCAGCATGAAAAATAATGGGTGGTAAAATTATATTAAAAAATATTTCTGGATCGAATGTAGCTTTTAACTCAATTTCATTATCCTGTATATCGATGGCACTACGAAAAGTGTACTGATAGGTCTTGTTAGTAGTGATATTAAAAGGCCCATTGACGGGAAAGTGGAGAGTTAATGTGTCTGGGGGCGAACTGGCATTGTATTTATCATCGTTAGGGAACACATTCATGTTGGACAATCCCGCTGTACTACCTGCATATCGAATAATTGCTCCCACAATTAAGCCTGAAATTTAACAAATTGGTAGTGAATAGTCTTACTGTTTACTTACCGTAAATAACTGCAAGTCCGGTCTCGTGCAAGAAACTTACTCGCCTGTGTTTAAACAGCCATATCGTCAGGACTGTTAAAATCAAAAGTAGCGTGTATGACAATAAATTTAAACTATCTAATCTATGTGTATTTTGGGCTTTTGCATCAAGTTCAATGTCAGTTGCAGCTCCATTCGAAATATAAATAAAATTCCCAAATAATAGTACACATAAATACAAGACACCCATTACAATGAATTAAACTAGACTGCTACATCTAAAATACAGAAGACACTTGTTTTTTTATGCTGTAATTACAAATTTCACGTACAGATACTTAATGCGACTTTACAATAATAGGAAAAAAGCATGACTGCAAAATTATAAATGTCAACTTCTATATGACACAAAAGTCAATTTGCAAGAGTTAAGGTGGTGCCATCTCTGATCTATAATTCTATATCAACTACAAAGTGCCCGCCACAGGACCGCTCCCGCTCATTATGATTTTTGAGTATTTCAATATTATCAACTGTGGTACTGGTAGATTACCTAATACCATATTTTGAAAAATTGTATTTCGCACAATGGAATAATAAAAAAACAAGCTTAGAAAAATAAAATTTCAATGCACCAGACAATACAAAGAACGGAAAAATCGGTCACTTCAGGGAAAACCCAATGGCTATTATGTAGATACCACATCCTTAAGTCAATGCCACACAATTAATCTCATACAATAAACAGAAAATAGCCTATTACATTTGTTTATTCATGAATACACAAAACTATTACGTAAAATTAAGATACCTATACTCAGTGCTCGATTTCTAGAAATTGAGGTACCGGAACTACAACCTGATGTCGAGACTTGAATTTCAAGATCTGTTCACACGTATCGCGCATCGCCTCGTCTATCGCCTCACTACGAACGCCGCCGTCACAAATACTTGAAACAGTTACCGAAAATGGTCACCATTTCGTTGGGCACATGAGGTAAGTACTAAAAAGCAGGGGATAGAACCCATATGAAATATAGGTTCCTGTCCCGCACCACTTAGAATTATTTTTTAAACATTTTTTTAGGTTTTTAACTGAAACTTTGTTTGTTCAATGTCTGTCAACTGCCTGTTTTTTTACTTTCCTTTTCTTTCGCGCTATTACTTTCCCCACACACTCTTATTCCACCCCCTTTCAGTTTTTGATTCATTTTCGGTATTAGTCAGTATAAAATATTTTATGTATGCTTAGTCTGTACTGTATGATTTGTGGCTTTTGAAATGTATTGCAAATTTTACAACTCTTAGCGTAATTCACAAGGCAAGATTTTGTTCTTGGCTATCAAGTCGATAAAGGATTTTTTGTGTTGGATATCCAGGATAATTAATCTACAATAATAATAATTAATAGCAATGCCGCTAGTATTATGGGCACTTTCCCTTCTACAATATCTTTAGATGAAATTTTCTTCCTCTCTTAAATCTTGAAACCTTTTTTTTTATTAAATACATGTAAGTTATATTATAAAAATAAAAAGAAATAATTTTCAAAAAAAAAAAAATTAATCTATTTATTCTATTTCAGGAACGACTTTTTCTAGAGCTGCAAAGAACTTTATGTGCGTTCCCGAAAATACATCAGAATTGTAAAAGCTCAAGAGGAGCAGATTACTCTAAAAACAATCCAAAAGGTGAGGAAGCTCCACCAACAAACTTCTTGAAACCTCTGTAAACAATATACACAGTTTTAGCATCGCCTTTAAAAGCTCTAGAAAGGGCCCGAAAAGCTCTAACGGAAGTATACACAAAGCTCCAAATTAACGTTTAGTGTGTTTCAAAAATTTTTGAGAAGTCTTTTTCCAAATTATTCAAAATACGGTTTCGTAACTTTATTTCATGGGATAAACGTGGTTGGAAAACCACTAAAAAAATTGGCCTAGAACTCTCGGAAAGACCTTCGATTTGCTCTTAGACGACTTTCCAAAGAATTTCTGGCAGCGGAGCCCAGCATCTGAGCCTATCACTTCCAGGGGCAGACTGGCCTGGGGGCGGGTGATGATCACCATACCTGGCACCACCTGTCCCGTAGTTAATAATTTAAACAATTGGAAACCAATCATAATTCTTGCCATATAACCCACGCTTCTGATAGTTATAAATTCATTGGTTAAAGATAAGACATTTCGCGTGCATCGTCCTCTACGCCACTGTTTTTGCAAGGCAAGCATTTAGCCACAACCGAATTGTACGCAGCGCATGAGTCATTTCGCCGTCGTAAATGATCGTTACGGTGGAGAGCGCAGGTACCAATATTCAGAAGTAATAAAATGGCCAAGTGTGATATGTAAAAATTCAGCTAATCCCTAAGTTCCGAATTTACTATGTTCGAAAATGGATAAATATCTAGACTTTCGTTAAAAGAGCGCGCTATGTATAGTTTTGTTTAAGAAGTGTCCGTGTTATAAATTCGCAACAATAATAATAATGTCTTCTGATAAAATAAAAGTTGCCGTCAGGGTCCGTCCTTTCAATAGGAGAGGTAAGCTGCCTTCAAAACAAAAGCCCACGAACAATACTTACGTCCATTAAAATTCATTTGTTTTTACTACCCAGCTCTTTTTGGATCTTCACTGTAGTCTCGTTCCATGATAGGATCATTGTCGAATGTTAAATACATAACAAAAACATTACATCAGTTAATTATTGCAATCACGATTTGTGAAATATTAGAAAAATCGCTGTAACCTTTTGTTTATTCGCACACATTTGTTGCAGAGTTGGAAATGCTAACGCCATGTGTTGTGGAAATGAATAAACAACAAACAATTTTACATCAATCTCTGGGATTGGATAAGATAGACAGGTGAGTTTTTACAATTTATAATTTCGTCAATCGCTGTGATTAGTTCCGTAAGCGAAATTTTCATCGTGATTGTTTCCTCTAAACATTGTCAAGGTTTAATTTAGAAAAATAAACTGACCATGTGCAACAATTAGTATGTTTGATAGAGGTAGTATCATTCTTTAAAACATCTGCACAAAGGTGCATTGTATTACTTATCCGAACCACTGCAAAAAAATAAATATTTTGATTATCAATTGTACGACAGCTGTAATTATGATTAATAAATTTAGTCCAAACATGAATACACATGATCACTATGTATGACAATTTTGCACACCTTCCACTGGTTGTTTAAATACTTGCACATACACTCAAAGTATAACCGCATTTTGGTTCTTTTACATACAGGGTGATTCAAAAGGACCATCCTTTAGTAGTGCGAACAACTGATCCTTTGGGCTTAAAATTATTTATCCCTTCATTTCTGAAATATTGTGTGATAGGACCTACATTCGGTTACACCGGAAATTGACACAATTTTTGACATTAATGAAATTATAAAGCTCGTACAAAAAATGTTGAAAGTCTGCGCTGTGCGTGTTTTTGCCAAAGTTGAAATTCTCGTAGCCGAGAGCATGCGCAATAGGTGCTTTCTTTAACTTTTCAAAAATGATATTAGCAAAATCTAGAAATAGAATTGCAACATGTAGGTAAAGAGCATCTGTCGTTTCAAACATTTCCCGAAAGTTCTTTCACTTCGACTTTCATGAAGTACAATTCAGTATGTACAACGCGCTTTAGCGTATTTTTATGCCGCACCTTCGAACTGAACAATTAATGAAGCATCAGATATTTTGAAGTAACTTCTTATCGCTCGGTATGCACTATATGTTTTGCAAGGGAGTAAAATCATGGTCGATTTACTAATGTACACATTTAATGCGTATTTAAGAGGTTCGCAGTGAATAAAATGAGTAAGGTTTTTTATTATACGTATTAGCATTGTATTTTCGTTTATAAATACAATGGTATTACTTAGTTGTCGCACTTGTAACGGAATAAGCGACGATTAGGACAGTCTAATTAGATCAGTTGGTAAGGCCGCCACTTTCCGATTGTAGATGTCGCAGGTTGGAATCGCGCGTGCGTTTTTTTAAGCTTCCTAGCTTAAGCGAGTTGGCTACTGCGATCACATTTTTTGGACATTTCATCAAATGTCAACGTATTTTTAACATATTTACACTTGGCGTACTCTGAACAACTGCCTTTTCTCTGTGGTACAGACAGACCGACCGACCGACATCATCTTTCGGATTCCTGGTGTTTCAAAACGTCTACTTCCGTGCGGGGTCATTTTTTACCACAATGCAATACCTCCCTTACTAACGTGCGGGGGTAAAAAGAGAAATGCGCGCTGCAGCAGCACACCACCCTTTGCCGTGTGTAAACAGCATATGATCGTGGTATTATTTTTGTATTTCACGAATGTTTATTTGGCACTTTCGTCTCTAACGAGAGCGTGAGACCGAATTTGATCGAACGTTGGTCACAGCCCACAGGTCGTATGAGCCCTAACGAGCGCAAACATTTGCAGAGAATTTAAGGTTTGAAATAGTTGGACAACTTGTAGCGACAGGAAATTAAAAGAAAATTTCGGAAAAGATTTGATTTTCCGCAGCTGGAGACCTGGTGCTGTGGGAGAGTCTGCGCAATAGTTGGAAATGACCCGTTCGTCTGCGGTGTACATGTACACCCTGAACGACTTTTGGAAATTCGTTTGGAAAAATATGCCGAATATGCATGGGCACAATATCTTGAAATGCATGAAGAAATCTTTGGATAAATCTGTTCAACTATATCCTAAAAGGGGAAACCGCAACTTTCATTGAAACTGGATTTTAACTGACTTTTCGCCTGTTTGCTCTGAATTTAATTATCCACTTTTCACATCTCGGTTGCATCCTCTCCATTACGTTGAATACAATTTATAAAGGATTATGTAATGGATGTGTCACAGTTGGAGTGCGTTTGTTTGAGTTACAATGTGCTTAATTTAATTCGCCGCGGCCTGATTGGATTTTATTTACCAACGTGAAACAACATTTAGTACATGCTAAATGAATTAGATTTTCATTTACGTAATGACGTTAACCGATCATAGTGTTCTGTTACTCAAAGGTAGCTATCTATACTATTCTGAAGAGCCTGTTGAACTACCTCTAGGGAAATGGTCCTAGCATCTCGGATTTTTAGCTTCCTAGCATGTGCTAGGTAGCTATTGCGATAGCCGTTTTTTGAACATTTCAAAATTTCATCAAATGTCGACGTTTTAGACCATTTTAAGCAACTTTTAAAGAATAAAATTTTTTTCCGTCTGTATGTACGTACGTAGTACGTACGTTTGTTGGCAATTTTCTGAGAAAACGGCTCGACGGATTTTGTTGAAATTTTGTATATATGTTTTAGGCATACCGAACAGAAAAATAACCGGCCGGATTTTTGAAAAAAAATTTTGGAGCGCCGTAACGGCATCGAACTTTTTTTTTTCAAATAGCAACCTAAAACTTTTATTCTATTATTTGGAAGACCTTATTTTCCTGTGTACAACCTACAAAAAATTGGGCCGGGTTATATTATCAAAAAACGGAGAAAAAAATTGTCAAAGTCAAAAAATTGTGTTGCATACGTGCAAAACGCAACGTCTTGTTTCTGAAGCAATTTAAACGAAATTTCTATGGTAAGTCCCTTTAATAAAAGCAAACAAAATGCATGCGTAAAAAAACATATGTTGGCAATTTTTGGTTTCAGCTAGGAAGCTATTCTGTCAAGAATTTGACACCTGGTTTTGTAAGGTAGCCTATACATTTATTTATTTATTTAGGTGTTTGCTCAAAACAACAGAAATAACATTGCATATAAAGTTTTGAGAACAATGATTGTGACTAAAAAATACGTATACAAGTAACTATCTGATAAAAACAAGCGAAGTGAGTAAATAATATTTTTATAAACATAAAACTAAATTTTTCTTAAACTGCGATAAAGACAGGCCAAACAAGTGCAGGTGCGCACCGTCAAATTTCGCTGCCTTAGGGGAGAGGGGGCATGAATTATTTCCTGAGATGTTTTTGAAAGTAAAACGTGCATAACTTTTACATACGACAACCAATTGGTCTTAGATTCTGCATACGCACCCCTTGAGTGGTACCAAGTAAACCTTTTGGGGGAGGGAGGGGGGGGCGTGGAAGTGGTTTTATCATCCATGGTACTCTTATGAAAGGTCTCAACGAAGGGAATTAATTTCTACCAACCATAGTCCTCTTCGAAGGGGGATCGTGATCGGGTATATTCACATATCTGCAGAACGGATTGTCGGAAGAGGGTACTCACAAAGGGCATTGGGACGTCTGGAAGAAATATATCCATTGGTGATGTCAAACCTTTAAGAGCCAATATCTCAAAAACGGTTTGTCGGAGGAAAGAACTATCGAAGGCAAAATGAATCGACATATCTATTGGTGAAGTCGAAGAAAATACCTTGACAACTAAGTATAGGAATAGAGTACTACTCATAAAAGGAACGTCAGGACGAGAATGGAGTGTCAGAAGATTTTGAATGTATGCCAAGTGTAAAGAGCCTCCTCCCCATTAATCATTTACCAAGAAAGTAAACATTGATAGCATGCTACTACCTTATAACCCAACCATTTACTAAACTATTTCGGTTTAAAAAATGCGCTTGATCTACACAAGAGTTGTGCACAATTTATATTTGTTTTATTTTCTCTCAGTTCTTTTCTTCTATTCATGATTCCACCAACCCCACCACATCATTATACTCTTACAAAGTCCCAGAATTGTACGTCTTTAGTTGCTATCCTCGTCACATTCCAGAACAACCTCTTCATGTTACTCATCTCTTTCTGCTGTTCTTATCTGTTTCTTTTCTTCCGTCCCGCTGTCGTCTCTTTTACTGTTAAAATCTCAATAATGAATCGGAGAGTGTTTGGCGTAATTAGATAGACACTCGACTATGATTAGGATCTCGGGTTCGCTCATGGAAGTGTTAATTGTAATGGGTCAGGTTTAGAACAGACCACGTCGAAAGAAACAAGATACCGTTTCCGTTTGGACGATCCTGTCTGCAAAGTATCATCAATCTTTATTGTCTCGTCGCGTCGGGTGAACGACAGTGGTTTGCGAAGGTGATGTAAACATAAATCCCGAGTTAAGAAATGCGTATTGCGATTTTGAGAACGGAAAAAATATGCAAGTGATTTGCATGGCTGTGGAATTTACAAAGTACTGCTATTGTTTGCTTCCTCTGTCCGGCTCTACTTCTGTGGTTTGCCAGATACACTCCTGCGGTTTTCCGGGTCCAGTTTTGTGGCTTTGAGGATAAATTTGAATTAGGTGGACCGCATATAGCAACAATTTCCGGCATATATTATAAACTTAGTATAGATCAATTTCTTTAGGAAATTTATGAAACTGGGTGGTTTCTATGATCAGTAAATTATTTCAAATTTCTATCGTGTTGTGAATTTGGCAATAAGTTTCCAAAAGTACAGTTCTTTTTGACATTTGGGGCGCTCGACGTTTCACAATGTCGTTTTTGTTCTGCCTGCCATAAAATATACCGTTAAAATTAATGCTTGCCGTTGAAGTAATTATTATTTTATATAAGAGTTTGCCATTATTAGACTGGAACGGTGGTTTTGTTTCTGACCGAAAATAACAATTTCGGCTTTCCCTTGTGCAGAGTCGCGATGATGTCAGCGCTAATAAAATTCAAAGTCTCTCACCGTGAAGTAAACATACTAGATCTGTTAAATAATAATGAGCGCATTCTTTTATTTCTACTGCCATCTAGGCAATGTGTTTTTAAGTAGGTATTATTTACGATTGACGACAGCGGCCTTAGGTGGAAATGATGACCCGTTAAATGTTCATATCATGAAAGGCGCATCCGAAGGAAGCCGTCGTGTTGACGGATTAGTACCAAACTGATGAGATAT